GCTGTATTTCAGCTCCACAGGTGGAAGCAGTGGGAACACTAGTGCCGTTTTTATGGTAACACAGGATTTTGGCTGTTGACATTAGGAGCAGAATTGCTGTTGCATAGATGGAACCAGGCTCTTCCTCTGAAACAACCACTTTTCATGTCTTTTGAGGTTATACCCACATAGAAAATATATGAGCCCAGAAATCTCAGTATCGGCTGGCCTTGAGTGAATGCCAATTCTCCATTTTCTATAACAGTAGAGAAACAGTTTTCAGGCCTGGTGCAGTGGCTCATGCCAGTAATCCCAACACTTTGGGAGGCTGAGGCAGGCGGATCACCTGAGGTCAGTCCAAGACTGGCCTGGCCAACATGGTGAAACCTCTCTCTACTAAAAATACCAAAAATTACACAGGCGTGGTGGTGCATGCCTATAGTCCCAGCTACTTGGGAGACTGAGGCAGGGGAACTGATTGAACCCAGGAAGGGCAGATTGCAGTGAGCTGAAATTATGCCACTACATCTAGCCTAGGAACCTCGGTGACAGAGCAAGACTCCATCCTGGGCAACAAAAAAAGGCTCTGTCTCTAAAAAAAAAAAAAAAAAAAAAAAATAAAAAAAAAAAAAAAAAAAAAGAGGGAAACAATTTTCAAACTTTGCTTCTAATCTCGCCTTATACAACAACATTTTATTAGCCAGAAACAAAAGAATGAGAATTCAAATATATTTTTCATGAGGATTCAAATATATTCAGCAAATTTATTGAGAATAATCATCTGGCATTATGCCACTGTATGGATCCAACTTTTAGTTTTTTGACTATGACAATTAAATGCCCAGAATCTTGGTTTCCTTATTATATGCATAATTATTTATAACATGAGATTAATAACGTGCTTACCACCCAAAGTCATGAAGAGTAAATAAGATTATGCTTAAAAAAAAAATTTGCCCCACTGCCTGAAACCTAATAAATAATGAATAAATGTTAGCTGCCATTATAATGATGATGATGATGATGAATAAAGTTGCACTCATGCATCAACAAATGTTTACTGAAGACCATCTATAACCCAGGCAGTGTTTTATGTCCTCGGGATGCATTAGTGAAAACAGATTATATATCTCCACTGACTTAGTGGAGATATATATTATGATATACATTATAGTATAGCAAGCCATTCTTTAACACTTGGTTTGGCCTAATTCCCTGGAGAATACAAGTTAGTAATTAATAGGCAAAAATCTCATAGTGGGGAAAAATGTCTGAGTTTTTTATTTTAAATATTTAGAGAGTATAGATTTCTAACTCATCTTTCTATCTAGTACTTATAATTTAGGATTGAACTAATTCTATTTTCCAGTTTAACTATAAAGTCATATGTCTGACAAGGAGAGTATGCTTATGAAACAGAGTATTTGAATTGGGGATTGTCTCAGACAGTCTAACACATATGGTACCCATCTCTATGCAATTGCCCAGGGGAAATTATAAAAAAACATGTCTTGTGTTTCATTCCCTGAGGTCAATGTTTTCCCTAAGCAAAGCTGGCTCTAAAATGTGCCTTTTACCCTTTGGCCTGTACCGAGATGCTGTATGTGCCATACTAGACAACACGGAGATATCTAGTAGAAATATAAAGGTTCACTCTAGCCACGTTGCTGCAGTTTGCTAGTAACTTTTCCCAGGCTTCAAAAGGACATTCTGTAGAGTCTTATGATGTAAGAGGGCGTTCCCACTTCAGCTGTGGCCAGCAGATGCTATGTCAACACTCTCTATGTCCACGTGTGCTGATAAAAGCAGGGAAAATGTGAATAATGAAAAAGAATGGCAGGCAGTTCTTTTGCTGGCTATGGTGATTTTAAACACAAACTAAACACACACTTAAGCTTCATCCTGGCAAAGTGTTTTAGTCCCTTTGAGATTTTTCACTCTTGTGAGAATGACTCACGTCTTGGAAATGACAAGTTTCAAGTCTGGTGCTCCCAGTACCTTTAGGCATTGGTTAATGTACCATGTGGGAGTTTTCAGCATCCCCTCAGCTGTGTTAATTAATAAGAGATGCTGTACTTGCCTACCTTTCACTGAAAACTCAGCATTTCACCATTCCCCAACAGTCTAAACTTTCCACTTGTGTTATGGTTACACTTATGAGACTCCTACATTGCACGCTGCGGCATCCCATATAGCTGCTAGAAGTGGAACACCAATATGCTTTTTGTTATGTTTGCTTTTTAGCTCCCTAGTTAACTGATCCTTTAAGCTGCAATGCATTCTGGTTTTTAAAAACACTTTCATAAACACTGTTCCATTTTGCTCCTCACTATGGCCCTGTGAGGTCTTTGACAAGTTCTATTATTTCCATTTAACAATGATAAAAAAAAAATGACATCTGCAAACTAGAATCCTGATCACCAGGGTGCTTTGCATTATTTAAGTTATACTAGTTGAGTACATTAAGCCCCAAATGCATAAAAGACAAACAAACAAAAATCCAGAAATTATTTTGTGCTAACAGAAGAGTCCATGGCAGGTATTTCTGTTTGGTGGGTAGCTTCCTTTCATATGGCAATCCAAGGACCAAGTTCCATCTATCTTGGGGCTCTTCAGTTCCCTAAAACATTGTTGATAAGTGTATCAAGCCTGTGGAGGGACCAGAGAAATGAGAGGAGGTATATTCTCTTTCTAAAAAGACCCTAGTGGAAGTGGCACATCTCAGATTTCCAAAGCCTGGAATGTCTTGGCCACACCAAGTCTATGCTCAGGAAGGAAACGGAACTCAATTGGTAAGAAGCCATACTAAGGTTTCCCAAAAGTACAGTGCAGATGCCCTTAGGATCATCTCAATGTACTATTGTAGAGAATCGCAGGTGACTGTGTGAATGGTGCCTCTTGGAGCTGAGCAACATGGTGGCCATGCAGCTAATAGCTTAGTGGATACTGTGTGAATACTCAATGTTAAGTTTGCATGTGGATTAGGAAATTATAAATAGCACATCAAGCAAAAGGTTTTGCAAAGGTAATTGCTTAGTCTAAGTTTCTATTTAAAATAAATTTATTTCGCTTTTAAAAATCAGTTGAATTAAGCCGGGCGCGGTGGCTCACGCCTGTAATCCCAACACTTTGGGAGGCCAAGGCAGGCAGATCACCTAAGGTCAGGAGTTTGAGACCAGCCTGGCCAACATGATGAAACCCCATGTCTACTAAAAATGCAAAAGTTAGCTGGGCATGGTGGTGGGCGTCTGTAATCCCAGGTACTCTGGAGGCTGAGGCAGGAGAATTGTTTGAACCCAGGAGGTGAAGGTTGCAGTAAGCCGAGATTGCACTAATGCACTCCAGCCTGGCCTGCAGAGCGAGACTCCATCTTGAAAAAAAAAAAAAAATCAGTTGAATTAAAGAAAAAGGTTAAGCACTAAATATCTATAAATATGACAAAAGCCCAAAAATGAATGCGAATGACTAAAGAGGAAGATAAAACTCCAGGAGGAAAAAAAAATAAAATTAATGGTTTGCAAAGCACCCATTAATGCTAAGCATTGGAAATGCTTTGGGGAATACAGAAAAATGGGTCTTTTGTCCTTGAGTTGTTTAAAACTTTTTTCAGGAGATAGACAAAATTTAGGGATGATAGCAAAATGGACTGTTACTGAGTGGAAATGTGTTTCAGGCCTAATGTGCTTTAGCATTTTTTTTTT